AGTGCAAGACGCTAGGCCACTAGGGCTATAAGATGCAGCCAGTCTAAAGGCTCAAGGGGATCTGTCCATGGTAGATAATGATGCTGGGGGGAGTCTGTGGGAAGCCTCTGTAGAAGGATCCCAGTACAGACCCATAAAGGTCTGGAGCAAGGCCATATCTTCTGTGGCAGAGCTACTCGCCACTCAAAAAAGCACCTGCTGGGACTTCCCTGGTGGCACAGTGGTTCAGAATCTGCCTGCCAATGCAGGGGACACGGGTTCGAGCCCTGGTCTGGGAAGATCCCACATGCCGTGGAGCAACGAAGCCCGTGAGCCACAACTACTGAGCCCATGTGCTGCAACTACTGAAGCCAGCCCGCCTAGAGCCCGTGCTCTGCAACAAGAGAAGCCACCGCAATGGGAAGCCCTCGCACCACAACGAAGAGTAGCCCCTGCTCACTGCAACTAGAGACAGCCCGTGTGCAGCAACGAAGACCCGATGCAGCCAAAAAAAAAAAAAAAAAGAAGGTGCTGTCATGCTACTGGGCTGTGGTCCAGACTTAGAGCCTCATGGCAGGTTATCAAGTGCCTGTGTAACCAGAGCTGCCCATCACGAGCTGAGTATTGGCAGACCCACTGAGCCCTGTGGCCTGGCAGACACAGCAGCAATCCAATGGAGATGGCAGCTTCCAGACCAGGCCCAACTGGGGCCCAAGGCTACATGGGTAAGGTGCATGGACAGGTAGTCAAGACCCCATGTGTCACCTGCCTCCATCACACTCTGTACTCTCCCTCAGCTCACACCTGTGGGCTCATGGGCGGAGGTTCCCTGTGACTAACCCATGCGGGGGAAGCACTCAGACCCGGCTCATAGATGGATCACCGCATTATGTTGGTACTAATAAAAATGGATTGCTGTCTCACTGTGGTCCCATTCAGGTGGCCCTCAGGGATGGTGGTGAGGGAAATCCCCCCAGTGAGCAATACACTTGGCGGTCCACTTGGTAGAGAGAGCTATGGCCTGAGTTAAAGGTGTCCATGGAAAACAACTTAGCTGATTGGTCAGGGACCCAGAGGGAGTAAGATTGGGTCGGTAGAAAGGGTTCTGCACCCAATTCCGAGGGGTGGCGGTGGGGTTTTCCCCAGCACCAAGCAATTCTTGCACACCAGCTGGTGTCCTATAATCCAACTCAATTCCGACACTGTCTCCCTGGAGATAGCATCAGACCCCACAGGTTAAGGGCTCAGTCCCACGAGACTATGAGACTGCGCTCCCCCACCCCCCACTTCAGAGGCCAACTGCAAGCCCAGGTTGTCAACTGTGCTTCTGACTGACCAGCTATAGATGGGAGCTTCCCATGACCCCCTCTGAGGGTTCAATTAATTTGGTTGAGCAGCTCACAGGACTCAGAGAAACACTTTACTTACTAGATCACTGACTTATCATAAAAGGATATAACTGAGGAACAGCCAGATGGAAGAGATGCACAGGGCGAGGCATGAGGAAAGGGCCCGGAGCTTCCACGCCCTCACCAGGGGCCACTCTCCCAGCCACTTCCATGTGTTCACCAACCCAGAAGTTCTCTGAACCCAGTCCTGGTGGGTTTTCATGGAGGCTTCATCACACAGGCACGATTGATGAATCACTGGCCATTGGCCATTGAATCAACCTGCAGCCCCTCTCCCCTCCCCAGAGGCAGATGGGGGGAGAAAGTGAAAATCCCAACCCTCTAATCACCTGGCTGGTTCCCCTGGCAACCAGCCCCCATCCTCAGGTGGGGTCCCAAAGTCACCTCATTCACTTAATAAAGACACTTTTATAGCTCTCATCACTTAGGAAATTCCAAGAGTTTTAGGAGCTCTGTGCCAGAAACAGGGACAAATACCAAGTATATATATTTCTTATCATAAATCACAGTATCACAGTCAAAGACTAGATGATTTGGAGAAGAGCGTGGGAGCTAGCTAGCACACCGAAAGGGGTGCGTGGGAAGAGGGTGTGGGTCCTGTGTCTCTGCCTTGCGGAGGTCAGCTGGCCTTTCTCCATGGTGCCCTGGACCCGTGAAGGCAGTTGCTGTAGTGGAAAGGCTGGAGGTTCTGCAAAGGCCCAAGAGCTAGGGTTTCCTCTCACCGAGGAGGCTGATCCTGATTCTGCCACCACTGAGTGCCCAACCCGCCGGAGCAGTGACCTCAGCCCTCAATGTGATGCCACTCCTCCAGGGGACCATCCAGCCGTTTGGAGGCAGGGTGATTACACTGGGCTCCTTCCACCTTGGAAGGGGCGATAATTGGTTGTACTCCAGATGTGGACTGGCCTTCCTGTGCATAGCGTGTCTGCCAGCAATCTGAGGGCTTACATAGTATGCCACGTAACAGTGCTTCAGAGTAAGGGACTCTTCTTCCAAGAAAGGAGGTGTGACAATAGGCACACGACCATGGGAGTCAGGGGTCTTGCTCTGCAAAGGCGCCAGCTCGGGGAATACACCCTGTGGGGCTGTGGAGTGTTACTTCATAATGCGACGAATGCACTGAGTTAATAGTTAATACGTGGTGCTGTGGTGCTGTGTCCCCAGTGGATAGAATCCATGGTGCTGTGAACCAAGGAATGAGAGTAGCGTTGGCTGCTCTCCCATTGCTTCCCAGTGACCCATCTGGGGAATCTGTGCTCCCCATTTCTGAGATCTTAGGCCCTCCTGAACCAGCGGTCCTGGTTTCTGGGGTGGCGGGTACTGCTTCCATCAGGGCTCATGGTAAGGGCTCTGCAGAACTTGAAATGAAACCTGCCCTGCCAATACATCACGAGCTAGAGTTGCTGCTCTCCAAGGACAGCAAGAAGTATGTCCGTGACACACGGATTCGCTAGTGTGTCTCTCGGTGTTTGTCAACAGGCGATTGCACGCTTGTGGCCTGACAAGGGGAAAGCAATGAAACGCGCTGACCTGTGGTGGATAAAGATGTGGTTCAGTCCTCCATGAAAATCACCTCGACCCGTGGAGAGGCCTTCTGAGGGCGAGGGAGATCTAGAATGGGTGATGGAGGAGGGTACGGTCAATGGCAAAATGTCCACAAAGCCCTCCCATGTGGTCTACACAGACACTCACGCTCCTATCCAGTGCGACTTTGTCGTTCCTCCCACCAAGAGGCAGAGTCCATTTCTGCAGGCTCGGAATCTGGACTTGCTGATGTGTAGAGGGTAGAATTACGTCCTCCAGAAGTTCAAGTTCCAGTCCCTGGTACCTGTGAATGTGACCTTATTTGGATTTACAGTTTTTGCAGATGTAACCAATTTAAGAGGAGGTCATGCTGGATTTGGGTGGGCCCTAAGTCCAATGGCTGGTGTCTTCTCTTTTTTTTTTTTTTTTGCCACGCAGCATGGCTTCCCACGGCAGTGAAAGCACGGAGTCCCAACCACTGGACTGCCAGGGAACTCCCTGGTGTCCTTGTAAGGAAGAAGGAAAGTTGGACCCAGACACAGAGTAGACACATGGGGAAGAAGGTCATATGAAGATGAAGGGAAAAATTGGAGCGATACAGCTACAAGTCAAGGAACACAAAAGATGGCTAAGAGCCGCCAAGCAGCTCGGCACAGGCAAAGGACCCTCCCCTAGAGCCTTCAGAGGGAGCATGGCCCTGCCAGCACCTTAATTTTGGATTTGGAGCCTCTAGAACTATGAAGAGAATACGTCTCTGTTGTTTTAAGCCACCGGGCTCGTGGTCTTTTGTGGTGTGGCAGTCTCCTCTTTGGGTCCGGGGCAGACAATTCTACCCAGCCCTCCCCTAGCAGAGTCAAGTCCTAGCAGCCTCAAGTGCCGACCAACTTGATAATGTACCCTTAGAATGGCTCTCATTCCCCTGAGACCACTTTCTGACATATGCAACCTGCACACCAGCCCCTTGTCTTGTCTCAAGGTCTGCTTTTTGGAACACCCACATTCCTTTTCCAGACTCCAGGCAGGCCCACCGTTCCTGATTCCTGTTCTCTAAACCAGGAGTCAGGGAGGAATGATAGGCTTTGGAGGGGCCTTCGGCCCTGTGTGGTTAATGATTCTATCACTTGCCAAAGCCTGGAAATGAGGCATGCAACAATTTAATCAAGTGATCTGCAGCCAGAGGGCTTGGGCTCTGCAGCTCTTCCTGGCACCCCATGGGAACCCAGCCCTCAATCCGATGCTGCTTCCCAGGCTGTCCCTCTCCAGGCTTGCCCAAGAAGAGAGCCAGGACAGGTTGCGGGAGAGAAGAGGGAGATGGAGGGAACGTTAAAGCGGTGTGCCTGAGCGCAGGCTGTGGCTGAGAGAGACACAGGTAGGCAGCGGACCCGGGGGCCCAGTCCTGCGCGCCAGGGCCCCAGGGCATCCCAAGGCCCTTAGTCGGCTCTCCCCAGGACCCACCCCACCTCATGCTTTTTTCTTTTTCTCCTTCTTATTAAAAACATTTGTTTCTTTGTACATTTTAACAAAGGTGTCCATTTCAACGACAACGAGAGGACGGCTAAGTTGAAGGAGAGAAGCACTCGTTAAAGGGCAACCTGAGGGAGGGCTAGAGGCATTCGGGATGCGGCGCGGAGGAACTGGGAAAGGGTCTGAAATCGCGCCCCCCTCCCGAGGCCCTGAGCTCTCTGGGGGATCCCGGGAGGCGCTCCTCCAAACAGGATCCCCGTCTCCCGGGCTGGCACAGGGCGGGCGGCACAAACTGGGCCGGGTGCTCGGAGACGGACGCCGGGGATCGCGGGGAACCAGGGACCCACTCCATCCCCGTCAAGGCCCCGCCCCCCAGCTTCCCGCGCCAGCTCCCGCGGCCTCCAGCCGCTCGCTCTCCCACCCAGCCCAGCTCCACTCTCCCGCGCGCTTGCGCCCGGTCCCCGCACCCCTCCCCCGCCGCCGCCGCGGGCGCGCGCGCTGTGCCCGTCGTCCCGGGCGGGAGCTGGAGACCGCGGGGTCGGCTGCGGGCCCGAGAGCAGGCGCCGGGAGCGCGGCCGGGCGAGGCGGGAGCGCGGGCGCGGGCGGGGGCCGCAGCCGCGCCGCCGCCCCCCAGTCGGCTGGCCGGGCCGCGGCGCCAAGCGCGAGGGCCGGGCTCCCGGGGCTGGTGGCCATGGGCGGGAGCCGGAGGCGGCAGCGGCAGCGGCAGCGGCAGCGGCAGCGGCGGGCCCCGCGGGCGGGGAGGCGCGCGGCCTACGGCCCCTGACGATCCCCAGTGGCCTGGCGCGCCCCCGCGCCTCCTGGGGGGCCGTAGCCAAGCAACGCCCGGCGCGCCCGCCCATCCCCCGCTGCCCTTTTTTTCCTGGCCGGGTGCAAGGGAGCATGCCCGCGCCTGGCCTCAGCCAGCTAAGAGTTAACCCGAGGGGCGTGGAGCTGCCCCCCCCTCGGGGGCGTGCCCCCCTCCCCCGCTAGGCGGCCCGCCCCCCGCGCTAGGGTATGGCCCCCGGCCCTGGGCCGGGACCCGAGGTCCTGCGCACGGGCCAGTGAAAGGCGTTTTCCCGTTCCCGCCCTCCTTCCCTCGCCGGCTAGCACCATGGGATGTAATATGTGCGTGGTCCAGAAACCGGAGGAGCAGTACAAAGTGATGCTTCAGGTAGGGCGGCTGGGCGGCTGGGGCGAGGGGCGTGGGCGACACCTGGGGAAGAGCTGGCCCGCGGGGAGGGCCGGGTGGAGGGGCACGAGGGCTCGACGAGGAAGACGTAGGGAGCCATCCTCGTCCTCGGTTTCCGGGGCCGCTGGGTGTAGGTGCTCCGTGGGAACCAGGCAAAGATGGGGGGGTCCCTGCACGGGGGTAGGGGTGCGGGGCGCATCCCTGGCTCGCCCGGAGTACATTGATTGGGACGCGAGCCCTGGGTCCAGATCGGCCCGGGTCGGGAAGTTGGGCTCAGCCCAGGTCCTGTGCGCATACATCCCGGGCCCGGGAGCCGGGAAACGCGTTGCTGCCGGCGCCGGCGCGGGATGGGGGTTGCATAGCAACGGCCTCCGTTCCCCGCACTCGCTAGCCACGGTGGACCCAGGGCGGGGGAGGGAGCAGGGCGCCCGCGGCGCGGTGGGGCGGGGCAAATCCAGGTCCCCGTGGGCCAGGGGTACTGGAGCGCGCGGGCCGCCCCGGGACCCCGCCGCCGCCTGGCCAGGATCGGGCATCTACCCCCGCACGCACCCTCCGCTCCGGCCCTGCCCAGACAAACGGTGGGCTCCCAGCCCTTGGGAGCCTCGGGTGAGTGGCTGTCGCCGGGTCTGCCAGAAGGGCAGTCTTCGGGAGTCGGTGACCGGCCTGCCCTAGGCCCCGCAGGGCCTTCGGGTCTTGGGCGGTGGGGGGCGTGTACCCGGCAGTGATCGGCGGGGAGGGAGGGGAGACTCCAGGTCGCGCTCTCGGACCCGGAGCTCGGCTTCCTTGCCTGTGCGTGGCGTGACTTCGTGAGTGCGTGCCTGTACCCCGTCTGTGTGTTCGCGGAGGCTTCCCCGGCCCTGCGTGTGTGTACTTTCTGTGTGCGCTCTGAGAGCTGTCTAGAGAAATGTCCCGGATGGCGTGGTCTGAGACGCCCCCAGGGCTCTGTGGAGGGAGTTCAAGGTTAGAGGGAGTCTGGACCCAGGGGCAGACCGGGCGCAGACAGGTATACGTTTCTGCTCTGGGTTTATTGGTCCGGACTGGGGAGCAAGTGCAGGTCGGAGAGGTGTTGGCTGGGGGAATGGGGTCTCCTTAGAAGAAAAGGGGGGACCCCTACAGGTATCGGCCGGGGCGCGGTGGGGATTGGGGTGCCCGCGGGAGTGCTGCATTCGTGCTGAGAGCCTCTGGCCGTCCTGGGCGGGAGGGGAGGGGGGCAGGACGGGAATCTTGCCTAGCCTGGCGGCGCTCCTCTTCCGCGCTCTCGGGCCGCTCTCCCGGGACACGCGGGCCCTCTGCTTTCCCCGCTCTCGGCCCTCCGCCTTCTTTCTGCCATTCTCTCCGCCACCCCCACCCCGCCTCGTGCTTCCTCCCATCTCTCGTTCCAGCTGTTTGGAAATCTTGCCTGGCCATTGCCATTCGCCCTCGTGGGATCAGGTTCGGGAATGGCCCAGGCTGGACCCCGAGCAGTCCCGTGGAATCCCAGTAGTGGCACCAGGGCTCCCGGCGGGAGGTGGGCTGCACTGGTTGGTTGATGAGGCCGTGGGATCCCGTCCTCACTGCTTCCTTTCTTGGGATCATTCTATCAAATGGCAAAAAGCGAATCTTAACTTCCTCCCAGAGGGATTGATGTAGTGCTTCGTTAAAGGCCAGTCCCTTGCGGATGTGTGGAAAGTGGAGGGCAACCTGCGCTGCGCTGCAGGCCCGAGATGAGCCGTGGTTGGGAGGCGACGCTGCTGTGACCCTTCGGGTTCCCCATGGGCAGTGGCAGGGAGGCTGCCACAGGTCTGGCTGGGACGGCCTTCAGGGAGGCTTCATGTCGCAGGAAGGCTTGAGGTGAACCTGGGCTGGAAGGTCGCAGTCCAGGCTTTTCTCCTGGAGAGAGAACCCCAAGCCCTGGGCAAGTAGCTCCCCAGAAGTTTGGACAGAATCTGAGACTGGATGCAGTTTTATTTTATTTTACCTTTTAAATTTATCTTTTTAAGTTAATTTTTGTTGGAGTATAGTTGATTTACAACGTTGTGTTAGTTTCAGGTGTACAGCAAAGTGAATCAGTTATACATATATCCGCTCTTTTTTAGATTCTATTCTCATGTAGGTCATTACAGGGTATTGAGTAGAGTTCCCTGTGCTATACAGTATGGATGCAGTTTTAAAAAAGGAACTATCCTTCAAAATTAAGGGAAGACGAAAGAGAATTGAATTTAAAAAAATCTGGAGAGCAGGGAAAACCATTAACTATCCCAGATGACTCTGGGTCTGGGGGCTGGCGTCCCAGGAGCAGCAGGGAGCTTCTCCTGGTCCCAGCCTCCTCTCAGAGGGGAGGGAAGCTTTTGTCCCAGAACACCAGTCAGTTTCCAGGACCCCTTGCCTGCCCCCCCTTAAACTCTGGTGCTTCACAGCTTCAGAGAGGCTTCTCCATGGTTTGTCCACACACCCACCTGTGGCCTCTGCACCTTGCCAACATAAGGAACCCCCCCCCCGGGATACAGTTCAGCCCAGAGAAATGCACAAGTACACCTACACCACTTGCCATGTGGCTTCATTTTGCTGGGGAGCCCTGGGGCCCCTTCCTAGATCCCCGGAGGTCTCTGACACCCAGGCTAAGAAGTGCCAAGTGTCTTATTCTAGCCTTGAGTTCCAGACCCTTTTCTCCCGATAGTTCACAGGCATTTAAAAAAAAAAACACTTTATTGAGATATAATTCACATACCCGTGCAGAACACACAATCGGGTGGGTTTTAGTATATTCAGAGAGTTGTGCCATCATCACCACTATCGAATTCCAGAACATTTTCGTCACCTTGAAAAGAAACCCCGTACCCATTAGCAGTCACATTTCCCCCAATACCTCCTAGGCCCTGGCAACCACCAATCTACTTGTCTTTATGGACTTGCCTGCTCCAGACATTTCATCTCAATGAAACCATACGATATGCGACCTTTTGTTGTCCGTTTTGTGTATATACCCCGAAATGGAATTGCTGGATCATATGGTAATTGTGTTTAGTATTTTGAGGAGCTGTCTGTTTTCCACAAGGGCTGCACAGTTTTACGTTCCCACCAGCAGTGTATGAGGGTTCCGTTTCTCCACACCCTCCCCACACACGCTCTTTATTATAGCCATCCTACTGGGTTTGAGGGGACATCATATGCATTTCCTGATGAGCATCTTATCCCGTGCTATTGGCTATTTGCGTATCTTTTCTGGAGAAATGTCTATCTTTATGCCTGTAACACACTGCTTTTACTAGAGCTTTGTAAGTAACTTTTGAATTGTGGGTCTTACAACTTTGTGCTATTCAAGGTCGTTTTGTCTTTTCTGAGTCACTTGAGTTTCCATGTGAATTTTAGGATCAGCTCGTCAATTTCAGAAAAACCAGCTGTGATTTTGTACGAATTGCATTGAATTTGTATTGAGTATTGCATTGCATCTGGGAGAGTATTACCCATGAACATGCGATGCCTTTTTATTTGAATTTTCAATTTCCTTGCCGCGTCGCTTGTGGGATCTTAGTTCCCCAACCAGGGATTGACCAGGGATTGAACTCCGGCCCTCTGCAGTGAGAGCGCAGAGTCTTAACCACAGGACCGCCGGGGAATTCCCTGAGTCTTCAATTTCCTTCGCCAATGTTTTGCACTTTTGTTAAATTTATTCCAGAGTACTCTATTCTTTATGATGCTATTGTAAGTAGAATTGTTTTCTTAATTTCCTTTTCATTTTTCTCATTGCCACTGTATAGAAATACAGTCGATTTTTTTATATTGGTCTTATATCTTGCAACCTTACTAAACTCATTTATTAGCTCGAATAGTTGTTTTGAGTGGATTCTTCAGGATTTCCTATATATAAATAGAGGATAGTTTTACTTCCTTTCCAATCCGGATAGCTCTCACTTCTTTTCTTTTTTTGAATTTTATTCTATTTTTTTATACAGCAGGTTCTTATTAGTTATCCATTTTATACATATTAGTGTATATATGTCAATCCCAATCTCCCAATTCATCACACCACCCCCCCCCTCCCCACGCCACTTTCCCCTCTTGGTGTCCATACGTTTGTACTCTACATCTGTGTCTCTATTTCTGCCCTGCAAACTGGCTCATCTGTACCATTTTTCTAGGTTCCACATATGTGCGTTAATACACGATTTTTGCGTTTCTCTTTCTGACTTCCTTCACTCTGTATGACAGTCTCTAGATCCAACCACGTCTCTACAAATGACCCAGTTTCGTTCCTTTTTATGGCCGAGTAATATTCCATCGTGGATACCTCTCATTTCCTTTTCTTGCCTATTTGCTCTGGCTAGCACCTCCAGTACAATGTTGAATAGAAGTGGTGAGAGTAGGTATCCTTGTCTTGTTGCTGATCTAAGAAGCTTCCAGTCTTTCACCCCTGAGTATGAAGTGAGCTGCGGTTTGTCATACATGCTCCTTATCAGCTAGAGGAAGTTCCCTTCTATTCCTAGTTTGACTGTTTTTATCATGAAGTGTTGTTAGGTTTTGTCAAATGCTTTTTCTGTGGCTCTTGAGATGATCCTGTGGTTTTTGGGCCCTTGATTCTACTGACGTGGTCTATCACGGGCACTTTAAGTGCGGCATGTCAGAACCGCAGCTCCATTTCTGTTATCCCAGTCTAGTCCTCCAAGGATACTTAACCAAGTGTGGGCGCTGGGGGCATGGGGGGGCACAGGGAGAGCTTGAAAAATCTGGAAATGACCCTGAGTGGGGGAGGGTCATGCATGTTGTTAGGAAGAGGAAGAAGCCAGGTCATAAAGGGCAGAAAGGGAGGTAGCCTGGTCACCTAACACTGAGACACAAAAAAGCACGTTCCGAGAGCCTTTCCTGTTCCCTGCTTGCCGGGCCTTGTGTCCTTCTCTCTGACACCATGACCCCCGTGATGTGGATCTGTCTGAGCCATTGATAGAAAAATTCTAGAAAATGCAAACTCATCTATAGTGACAGAAAGTATTTGCAGGGATGGGTGG